CATATATGCAGTTCTAATTTGTGATTAAAAAATATATACTGTGAGTATCAGAGCTGTATTCAATGTCAATAATAATGGGTTAGAAAAGCATTGAAATCCTGAGCTAATAGGCCTACCAATAGTATGGATCGATAAAGCACAAGAATTCATAATGATGACTGTATTTTGCACTTCTTTACCGACGTCCCATACCGGTATTATGAGTTTTTACCAATCACTTTTTATTTACTAGGATATAAAAACAAACTGGAATAGACACCCAAACAGTGACATCGGTGAATACATAACCTCCTTGGTGGCGGTAGAAATCGTTGCTATTATCCAAATAAAACACAAAACAATTAAAGCATAATCCTGAATCAGTAAAGAATAAAACAATACAGCGCAGAATCGTATCGCCAGCCGCACACACTCTTAGTGAAAAAGTTTTCCTCCATTAGTGGAAAAGGAAGGGCGCCTTTTGCGTCTTGATATACTTAGCAACAGAAGGGCGCCCTGTACTGGCATGGTTAAAAAGAAAGGTGCTGCCTACATTAGGCACGATTTACGCGTCATTTTTACAATGCTAGTGCTCTATCTTGTATTTCTAGTATCTTTGATAACATCTATAAAAACGGCATTTCATCTGACATGAAAGAAGGCAGATGCGGTATCCCACCTAGTTACCTCAGTTCAGCTGGTAGAGTAGCCAAACAGTAACCGGACAGTCTTGGGTTCGAATCCTGATGGGGGCAGTACGTTTCTCTCAAAAATTTATTAACATCTTTAACACCAGTGGAAGTGTTACTACCATGCGACAAGCTGCCTATTTATCTTATTGAAAATGAGATCTTTAATTTGTATACTTAATTTTACAATGTATAAAACTGGTAAATAAATTTTAATATTAATAGGAAATTGTTGTGCATTCTTCAAATTCCAGAACTGACCATGACTTAATGATGAAATCTGTGACCAGCGTCAAAGATAATAGCAGAAGAAATGCAGTGATTTTTGGCCGCAAGACCATGGTTACTGATGCTGAGTGTAGTAATCCATTTCCAAATACTATTAGCATTGTTCTTAGCAGAAAAATAAAGTAAGTATAAACTTAATTGTAGGGGTTTTTATACTTGGTAAACAGTTCAGTAGATATCTACAGTTTTCCTACTTGAAAGGCCCAGCTTTATAAACTTATGCCACCCTGACACTTACACGATTTTCGTTCCCGCAGTGGCGTGCACTTTGGTGTGTCAATGATTAAAGTTTTCAGGAACGAATGTGAGGAGTATGTGAAGGGTGCGGGGATGCGTACCATGTCCTAGAGAGAATTTAGAAATGTTAACAAATTCAGCACGCATCAATGTTCGTGTCATGTGTGTGCCACTTGCGTGAACCATGCATGAACACTGCCGACTGTGCGTGCCTTGTTCTTGCTGCCTTTTCTCCTGCTCTTCAAGTAATAATAGTCCTGCAGCTGCCAGATATAGACACATTCTCTGTTCTGCAATAACAGTGTCTCTAGCATTCAGATGTTGTATCGTCCACAGCGAGTCAAAGAATAAAGCATGGCGTCAAGCAGGACAAAGTGTGACCAAAAATTGCCACGATGACTCGCATTCGCATACACAGCTTCACGCTCCGATGCGTACCGCTGAAATGGCATGCCTTACCACAGCGCATGGCGCGGACAAAAATCGTGTAAGTGTCAGGGTGGCGTAAGTCTTTTTATGAGGCTTAGGGAGTGGAGTTGTTTTTGTTCCGAGAGAAAATCCTGCTGGAGCAGGAATTGAACCCAGGACCCTGGGATGGAAGGCAAGATTCTTGAACATCTCTACCAGGTAATTGAATGTGCTCCTGGTATTAGGAGCAATATTTTAGGATTCTCAGACAGGGAATTAAGTACATTTTCCATATATGTTTGATCCAAAGAAGAGGATAACAATGTGTGCTTGATTCTATAAAATAGGACAACACATTATTGAATATAGTTTTTTCCTCAGAGGAATAAATGTTTGATTGATTGATTGATTGATTGGTTGGTTGGTTGGTTGGTTGATTGATTGATTGATTGATTGATTGTAACAAGTTTTCATAATTACAGAGAAATGCCTCCTTGGACTGACTACCTCTGCCACTCACTAGAAGAAGCCTTGTCATTGGTCAATGGGAAAATATCCAATCAAATTGAAAGTGTTTGGATTATAGGAGGAGCTGAAGTATACAAGGTAAATCATGTGATTAAAATCCTATTGTTGATTGGTTAATGAAAATTTAGCTCTGCCCTAATTTTATATTAATTTTGTTTGTTTTCTTATACTGTAACAATCAACAGTTTCTGTCTTTTTTTTCAGTTCGGGTCAACTTATTGTGACTACATTTATTTAACAAGAATATTTGCTGATTTTAATTGTGATACAGTGTTTCCAGAAATTGATTGGAGCCAGTTTGTAAAATTCAGGTATGAGTGAAATGTTTCATCGATAAATTTAATGCCTAAAGCATTGATTTTGGCCCTGTTGTTGCCATTTTACACCCTAAAAAAAAATTATCAGGTTAGGGATGGCTAAAAATAAACCATGGAATTAGGCATAGCCTGATTGCTGACTGACCAATCCTACTCCATTTCCAAGTCGTTTAGCCAGAGGTGGGCATAAAAAATGGGTTGGAGGGTCAAAGTGAATTTTTTATTTAACACCAAGCACTGCACCCAAACTTTGATGTTTCCAGTGCGCTTACAAAAGCCTTCATTAACTGCTGTTATACCGCTTTATACTCAGCTTTAATATTACATTTTACAGATAATCGGTGTCGAGCCGTGAAAAAGCAAGGTTTTTCTAGCCAAAGATTATTGGTGGGCTGCACACATATGGTTTATAATTCGTTTTCGCAGGCTGTAAAAAATCACTGTCTGGCCGCACTTTGCCCACCTGTGCACAATTTTTTTTTCTGTAGCATTGCCATCATTACTACTATTATAATTTCATAAGAAGAACGCATGCCTTATGTGTTTATCTTAACACCGAATCTGCCTTATTCATTTTCCATATGTGCTTGATATAGTCACAGAGTGTAATAATGTTGAGTGCATAGAGGTTTCTACAATATGCACTTTATAAATTCACCATTATTATTATTATTATTATTATATTTTTATTAATAATAAGGTTCATTATTATTTCTTACTTTTCCATTTTTCTTTTATTCTAGGGATCCTGAAGTAGATGATGCTGAACAAACAGAAAATAATGGAATTAAATTTCAATTTGAGATCTACCGTAGAAAATGACAGTTATGATGTGTATTAAAATGAGGGATGTAGTTATGGTGGATGTAGTTGGGCGTGGCCACCCAGCCTTGAAGTTTTCCACGCAGCCTAAAGATGATTTCATGGCCCTCCACCCACCCTAACCCACTTTTCCATCCTTAAAAATCCACTCTTATTATTTAGAGTTTATTAATGTTATCACCCACCCAGTGGTGCATCTAGGGGTCTTGAAGTGGTTGCGCTGATGGGGGCTCGATGATCAGGTGAGGGGGAGGGGAGGTTGTGGCCACTAACTTGCAAAATATGGTGATTTTAAGTGCTGCTTAACAAATTGACCGTGATTTTTAGAGAGGCATGCGCCCCCCTCCCCCTCTGCCCACCCATAGATCTGTCTCTTATACACATCTTGATGTGTATAAGAGACAGGAATTGAACCCAGGACCCTGGGATG